GTCCAGTATGAGTGGGTTTTCGGTATACAGATGTTTCCCACTTAGTGTCGGTTAGTATCCCACTTAGTATCCGTTTTGGTGTTTCCCTTCAATGAAGAGGAACAATTTAAATCTAGTTGATCATTGAGCAATAATCCCAAATTTTTTAATATATTGATTGCTGAGCATTCCAAGAGTTGCTTCTATGCTCTTTTATTCTTTTGGAGAAAGTTCTTCCGGTTTGGCAACAATTGAATTTCACTTGCCAATATGTTAACTAGTCAACCTTTGTGGACTGTACATGACTGAATCTTACGAACATTATTTTTGAGAACACATAAAATATCTAAACAAAACATGTGCAAGTGCCAAAGGTTGACAGAAATCTATACCTGCATATGTGAGTCGAAAATTAAAGAATGATACAGTTGTTCCTAGAGAAAAGGTAATCCAAGAAGTAATCATCATTGATTGATTTTTCAAGTGTAGAACAAGGACTGGGAAAAAAAGTATGGAGAAACGTCCCTGCACACAAGTCGCATATTGTTATGAGAATAGCGTGTGATTTAGGATTTGAGTTACTCGAACATCCCTCTGAATCACCAGATCTAACTCTGTTCGCCTATAATGTCTTTCCCAACTGAAAGTTTCAAAAGTCATTAATTTCATACTAAAAAGTAGGTGATAGAAGTTGTGGAGCCAAACATTTTTTTAAATGTCTTGGAATTGTTGCAAGTTTTCAGTAATAAATGTGTCTAATTCAGAGAGGAATGTATTGAATCGCAAAATACTTTGACTTTCAAATTCAGTTTACTTCTATAGTAGGCTTGAAAGTTTTCAATACATCCTTGTATCTGGTTGAAATATACTCAAAAAGAAACAAGAGACAAGCTCACTGACCCTATTTTGATGATGTCTAGTTCCTTCTCGAGACCTTCCTTCGTATTACAGAGCCCGAAAGCACGGTCTAATAGAGTCTTGATGATTCCTCTTTTAGTCAATTGATGGTGTTTGGATTCGTGGTTCAGATACTGTCCAGTATGTGGGTTTTCGGTATACAGATGTTTCACACTTAGTGTCGGTTAGTATCCCACTTAGTGTCCGTTTTGGTGTTTCCCTTCAATGAAGAGGAACAATTGAAAAGTAGGTGATAGAAGTTGTGGAGCCAAACATTTTTTTCAAATGTCTTGGAATTGTTGCAAGTTTTCAGTAATAAATGTGTCTAATTCAGAGAGGAATGTATTGAATCGCAAAATACTTTGACTTTCAAATTCGGTTTACTTCTATAGTAGGCTTGAAAGTTTTCAATACATCCTTGTATCTGGTTGAAATATACTCAAAAAGAAACAAGAGACAAGCTCACTGACCCTGATTTCACTTCATAAGCTCTTCTACAAGCATATGTTTTCTAAAAAGAATATCTTACTTTCTATCGGACACTGTATATAACAAAACGCTCGAGGGACTACCTTCTATATTTTACAGTGAATGTTAATATTTCTTACAATGTATCTGGTCGCATCTGCCGCATATTATATTACGTTTGCAAAAGGTCGTAAAAAGATGGATTTGTTGCAAATTAGCAGAGATAGGGACACGATCTGGGTTGACCTCATTTTGATTCGAGTCATATGAGATTCTGTGGCAATACATAATAAATATGTTCCCTCGGTGAAATTTGAAACTTTTGTGTAGGTATCGACACGCTCTGTGAAACCGACTTTCGGTATTTCCGTATTTTTGTAATACGAGAACAAACAGATGAATAGATACATGCATGGCTACTTTGGGAATTTTATTACAGTATGTAGCTTGGATTCTGAGCTAAAAAAGGTTTTTTAACTGGAGTGAAAGTCTGCACAGCGTTTCGAAAAAAAAAAGATTTCTTGATAGGCTTTTTAATAAAATTGGATCAGTAGAATAATATAAATGAAAGTGTTGTTGCACAGGATGTCCTAGAACTCAGTTAACAAGGGATATTTTCGTTATTTGAAAAGCTAAAATTAAACAAATACGGTTCGGTTAGGTTAGGTCGAAAGAGAGTGGGTCTATTCAACCTTCCTCCGCAACCCGCAAGGGTTTATTGCGGCTCACACCTATTCACACTCGACCAAATCAACCCAGCCAGTTTCTTAACGAAGCCGATTGGTTTTCATGGTAAGTGGTCTTTCAGGTGAGATGCTAATAGTACAGCTCTCCCAAACTCTGAAAACCTTATTTGGTTCCCCAGCGGGGCAGGCACAAAGTATGTGCTCTGCTGTTTCATCTTTTCCCAAACAGAAGCGACACATACTGTCGCTTTTTTGGCTGTTGTACCGGGCTTATTGTTTTCTCCACAGAGGGCTCAGGCGTGGCCGCTCGTTTTTGGGGTATACTTTCTTCTATGATTTCTTCATCCTCTGAAGGTATGCTGTCGAAATCCGGATCTTCTATATCGTTTTCGTAGCTTGGGAAAGCTTCGAAAAGCTGGTAATATTTTGGCTTGCGATTCTGCTTGTTATTTTTCATGACTTTCTCAAAATATTTATATGACTTTGCCAGCTCTAAGCTGGAAACGTCATATCTATCTAATATTGCAGCTACTAGCGCAAGTACTGCGTCTCTTGAGTTGTTTCTTCGGAAGTCCAAGTGACACTGACTCTGAATAAAATGACAGTGTCCTGTAGGAAGGCCTGTTAGACATCGTAGGCCTGCAGCCTCATTGCCTTCCAGGCCAGTATGGCCAGGAATCCGGACCAGAGACAATCTGTTTAGTCTTCCTATCAGGAGAGTCGTTTTTGGCAATTTGCTACCAATTTAGACTTTACTCGGTAGGAGCCAAGTGCTTCCAACACCGCTTGACTGTCCGAGAATATTTTATTGACTTGTGTATAAGGTTGGATTCTTCCACACACAATTCAATAGCATAAATTTCCGTTTGAAATACAGTCTCATAGGTTCCTAGGCAGGTTGATATATCTGCCCTGGGTCTGACGTACTGAAAGACGAAAAATACCATTCTGAGATCATCTTTGTGACCATTGCTAGACATTTACTTGATTTTGAAACGTTAACCATGAGAAGAGAAGATGGAAGACAAATAAATATATCGTCTACAATGAGTATTGAATACCTTGATGTATACAGGGTTCTGGGCAGTTTATCTCACCATTTATTTATTCGAAGAGGAAACTCAAGTTCATAGAAATTCTTCTATCTTCCAATGATTTCATATTTATTTTTGTTAAGAGTTGACTGTACTCATATTAATTTCGTTGAATACCAAAGTGAAAAGCACAATTCCTTAAGAATTTCTTTTGAATATTCTCAATCAAATAGATATTTACATTATAGTATGGGTCCCATATAACCGAACAATATTCAAGAATGAATCTTACGAAAGTACAATATAAAATCTTTTTTGTTTTAATTGAAAAATCATTAGAAATGCCCAACACAAAACCTAGCATTTTGAGACTTTTTGCCACAACTTCTGGTACTTGAAGATTAAAACTGATTTCGCTATCAAATTGAACTCCCAGATCGCGAATAAATGTTTCTCTTTTAAGAGCTATACTATTCAATTTATATTCGAAGAATACTGCACTTCTAATTTTAGCAAACGTAAATATTTTACACTTATCGATGTTTACCTTTAACAAATTATTTCTACACCACATGGAAAAAGCTTCGAGATCTTTTTGAACTAATTCACCATCTTTCCGGCAAGTGATTGCTCGATAAAGTTTGAGATCATCCGCAAACATAAGAAACTCTGAATATTTGAAAACAAACTCTATGTCCGATACAAACAAGTTGAAAAGCAATGGGCCCATATGGGATCCATGCGGTACCCCTGATGGAACCTGAATGGGCGTAGATTTTGTATCTCCGTATTTTACAGGCAGAGTTCTACCAGTTAAGAAGCTATTGATTACTTGCAAATCATTCCCGCCTATACCAAGCGCTTGAATTATAGATATAAATAGGCCGTGGTTGACTCTATCATAGGCTTTGAAAAAGTCAGTATAGATAGAATCTACCTGTAGCTTCCTCTCAAGATTTTCAGTTAAGTAGCTTGTGTAAAGAGCAAGGTTGGTAAAAGTGGATTTACCTTCTGAGAAACCGTATTCTTGGTAATTGAGTAAAGACTTACAATTTCTTTGTAAGCATAGAATCAAACATCTTAGCCATCTTTGACTGATTGCAAACTGCTCTATAATTCCTAATATTTTTCTTATTTCCTGGTTTATGTATTAGTTTCAGGAAGTTATGTTTCCAATAATCTGGATTGAAGATGTTTCGTAATGAGAATGCTAAATTGTACAGACATTTGTGTATAAAAATAGAGGTATACCATTAGGTCCCATTGTGAGCTTAGGTGAAACAGAGAAAACGTAATCTTTTATATCCGTAGCAGTGAGGTAATACTGTAATTGTTGATATAGACTTTGTTTTCAAAATTATATTCAAGGGTAAAATTCACTGTCTGGTTATTATATGCAGTTGAGAAATAAGAGTCAAACAAATTGACAATCTCAGAAGTATTATTACAGACTTCATTTTCATAAAACATGGCTGAAGGTAACTTATAATCCTTCCTTTTACCCTGAATATAACCCCAAAAGGCCTTTGGATTATCAGAAATATTCTGTTCTGTTCTGTTTAAAATAATAAAAAATTGAAGCTTGAGAAAATGTGACTTGACCTCAATCCGCCTACACGACAGATTTCGATTCTTGATCCATATTCCAACGTCGAGTGTTTTAGACAAAACAAAACCGAATTGGTGAAAACACCAGGGTTCCTATGCATTTGCCTCAATCCTATCCTGTGTGGGCATCTGCCGCTCGGTAGTGTTAATCGTCAACAGTGAAGAGAACATCATTGCATAGTTTCCTACGATTTCCTTGTTCATACGATGGAATGACGAGTTCGTCCTCGATCTCATAGATGGCGTTTGATGATATAATTCAACTTCAAGAAATATACTAAATAAAAAAATATCCCATCTCAATGTACTTCACTTGAAATAAATCCAATTTTTAAATCCAATTTTTATATTCAAATAAGAAATGAAAATCATATACTATTTTCTTAGCGACTCCAGGTTTACGATTTTGAGTTGGTTTTTACCATCAGTATGCAAAGCGATTCCCATTTCATCCAGTACTTCATTGCTAACAGTGCCCTCTTGATGTAAACCTGCAATCACTTTCTGGTTCTCAATATTATTTTCACACAAATTCCTTATAGCAAGAATACACCATTGCATAATAACTGTTCATAGTCAAGGAAAATCTATTAAATATAATAAATATCATGATTGTATTATTCCTACATGATAAAAAAAGATAGAAATATGAAATCTGATCTAAAAGATCTTCAATCAGATGTACTTAGACTACGGTGCACCACAGTGATAGGTATGTAGGCCTTCGTTTCCTATAAGTTAAGCAACGATATTCAGGTTACTTGGTTTACCTTTAGTTGAACCTATTTTTTATGCACTCTATTATATGTAATGAAAATATTAATTGTAGAAAAGAGCTGCATACAAAATGATTGATTCTGAACATCACAAAAACTATTTACTTCTGTGAGATTTCATGGAATTCAATTCAGGTTCACATGAATTCAAATGAGAAATTCGTTAACAGATATCAATCAATTGACTCCATTCCAAAAATCTATCTGATAAATGGCATCAGTTCGAAACTCATAGTAATAAAATTTTACTTTTAAATCAATTAACTCTTAATTTGTGATATCAGAGCAATAGTAAGAGATGTAAGTAAAGTTTCATGGATTGATTCTGATGTAATGCCTCTACTTTTTGTAAATAAAACAAACTTTTTCAAAAATAACCTTCCAAGCTGAAGTTGAAATATAGATAAATTGCGAAATTTTCTCTAAAGAATATGTCAGCTAGATAGTTAATATATAGCATGCAAGCAATGGGCCAACAACAGACCCCTGTAGAACACCTCATTTCATTTCTAAAATGTGTTCAATACTCAGCACGAATTGTTTATTCATGAAAAATCTAAGCAATGATAAAGTCAAACCTCCATATTAGGAATTTTATTTTATAACTTGGTGGACTCACATTTGGGGTTTATTCTAACATGAGCAGATGTACTAGGGTGGTCCCAGAAGTACGCGACCTTACCTAGAGATGGCGGTAGTTGTTTGAGAAATATTACTGTATTAGAAAGTACAAAATCTATAAAACATATGTTTCAAGTTTCAAGACGCTGCGTTGTTTAGTATTTGTTTGGCAGCCATCAAAGCGAATGTTTTCGGTGAACTGGTGAAAATGGAGAAAATTGGTCATCGTTATGTGGTACAATACTTTGATTTGTGAAGCCTCAGCATAACGAATAAAAAAGCTTAACTGGATTCAACTCTGGGCGAGTCTCCTCCTTCAATTACAACAGTAAAATTTGGGTAGTAGAGTTCAAACGAGGCTGTGCGAGCTGCCAAAACGAGCATCGTAATGGTCGACCAAATGAGGTGACGACTCCAGAAACGACGAATAAAATCCACAAAACGATACTGAATGTTCGTCGACTGAAAGTTCGCGAGCAAGCAGACCTAGTGGGAATTCTAAAAAGTACGGTACATCGTATGTTATCTGAAAAATTTGTACACGAGACAAGTCTGCAAGATGGGTGACGTGTTTGCTCACACACGAACAAAAACAGTGTCATGAAAATGTTTCAATTGAGTGTTTAGCAAAGTTTCACAGCAACAAAGCAGAATTCTTGTGTCGTTTCATAACCATGGATATATAAAACATTGGTCCATTATTTTACACCCGATACAAAACAACAATGAAAACAGTGGACTCAAAAGGAAGAACCGGTTTCAAAGAAGGCGAAGACCATTTCATCTACAGGCAAGGTCGTGGTATTGGTTTTTTTGAGATACTCATGAGATAATTTTCGTTGACTATATTAAAAAAGGTGAAACTATCAAAGGCAAGTATTATAGGAACTTATTGCAACGTTTGAGTGAAGAAATCAAGCAAAAACGCCACAGTTGGCTTAGAAAAAGTGCTGTTTCATCAAGACAATACACCAGCTCACAAATCCATTATTGCAATGACCAAAATTAATGAATTCAAGTTTGAATTGCTACCTCATGCACCCTATTCGCCAGATTTAGCCCACTTGAAATATTTTCCGTTCCCAAACTTGAAAAAATGGCTGTGGTCAAAGATTTTTCAACGATGAAGAAGAAGATGGCTATTTTGAGGATCAAGACAGTTCTTATTATAAAAATGGTATCGAACATTGCTGGGATAAGTGTATACAGCTGCAAGGATATTATGTTGAAAAATACGTAAATGTTTTTCCAAAATGTCTGTGTTTTCTTCGTTGGGTTGGATACTTTTGGAACCACCCTCATAGAAACTGAAAATTTCATATGAGTCAATTCATCACCATAAGAGAAATGAATATGGAAAACTGAAAGCTACAAAATATGGAAAATTTCATGTCATGAATTTATCAATTATCAAATTATTCCAATGTTATACAAGATTTGTCAATAGCAATAGCAAGCTACCTTCGTAGTCGTCACTCCCATATGAACGACAATTATCAAAAGTTGAAATTTGTGCAAATTAATGAGGTCTTACCTTCCAATGTATGATTCTAAGCACATAATACTTGAGTGTTTCATCAAGTGTTTAAACAGTTTTTACTGAAAAAAAGGATACATGGATTTTTAGCATCAATGTTGCATGAATCAAGAATCACAGGTATTATTTCTGCTGTTCGTGCCTAGAAGAAGCAATATCACAAAAATAATCAATCATTAATAAAAATAATTTATCATTTGTATATAGTTACAATTTGAAATTTAAATAGTGCGATTAATTTTCACTCACCAAGTTTTGAAGTTCAAAATTTTTCCAACACATATTACCTATGAGCCTGACCAAATCTGTTTTGAAGCCAAACACAGGATCAATATTGAGCTCACTATTCTCGCTTCCGTTTACGAATATTTTTTGAATCGGAGTAAAAGAATTGTTGGATACTTTCCCCAATCTATGAATATTGATAAGCAGGGCCCCAGCATTCACCAAAACATCTTTATTGGTTTGCAACTTTTTCAGATATTCTTCTTTACTGGAAAGTGAAGACAATATTTCCAATGATGAAGATATTTCATAAACCTCTAATGAATTTCTTCCATTGATTTGCAAAAGTACCTCTCCACATTCTAGAAACTTCTGTATCAAAATCTCCAATCCTATGTCAGGTAAGACCTGTAACCGATTTTCTATTTGCATTTCTTTGAGAAAATCCAAGATTTTCAATCGATTTTCTAACTTCAAATTGATATAATTCGTCCACAATCCACTGCTGGAAATACTATTTTCTAGGAAAAAGCACAAGAATTCATTATGCTCTTCACTTCCATATAAATCTAATATTTTTTCTACAGTTTCTTGATCACCAATGGATATGAAGAGGGATATGTTATACAACAGTGCAGAACACTCATATAAACATACATTTTTTTGAAAACTTTTTCTTATGTCATCATAAAATAGTTCTTTTATTCTTTGAGTGACTTTCCTATTGGAAGTTGTCAGATTCATCAGGAACTGTAACATTATCTTTGTACAGGTTTGACTCCAATCCAAACTCTGAAACAGTTCTTTGCAGGCGTTTAAAATCCTGGTTTTCTCGTTAATAAAATTCTGGATTGAAGCGTTGGATGAACTATTTCTCAAGGATCTAAAAATTTCAGTAAGTATATTGTGAGTCCGAAAAGTTTTCAGGTGGGAGAAATGTTATCAACTTATCCTCCAGAAACTTGATGACTTCCTCTGAAACCAGGAACCTGTGAAAGGATATTTGCTTTCCAATATGAAAAAATTAATGTTTAGGTTTACTTTACATTTTGGGACTGCCATCATCAAGCCTTTCAATTTCAAATATATTCTTAAGAATACTAATTAAATTTTCATTGCTGAAGTCTCCGATATCACTCAATCCTCTCATTACTGGAAGAATGTCGATATTTTTGGAACCGTTTTCACCTTCATAACAAATAAAAGGACACTTCTTTTCAAAATGTTTCATGTTTTTAAACTCTAGCTAAAAATAAATATTGAAGTACATGAAGATTAAGAAGTCAAGTTAGATGTTAGGTTAGGTTTAGGTTAAGTTGACTTTCAATCACAGATCATATTAGCACAGCTTGTGATATTAGTAGTGTTTTCCACAAAACACTTTAGAGAAAGTGGTTTGCAGTGATGCCAACAGCTCCAAATCTTTTCCCCTAAGCCTATTTTAAAACCCCCTAAATTCAAACCAACAGTTAACAAGTTAATAGAATAACTTACCTTCATATTCTTATTATAACGAAGTTTTAAATAAAAAGGTTATTGAAAAATGTTACATAAGATTTTTAAAACATGGTAACTTTATGTGAATACGTCAGTACACAACATCAACTAATAAATAAAAAATAAATACATCAAATGAACACACATATATGGGCATGAATACTTATACTGTAATAATTCCTAGTTCATTAATAATTTCGAAAAACTCATCAGCTTCCTGTTCTTCATTTCTGTCGATATCAGTTATTAATTTTCCCCCTAAAAATACCCTAAAAAATATTTTACATTGGAAAGAAGTTCAAGTGATCAAATTGAAAAAATTATATGCATCGTGCTTGGAATATAACATGTAATTCCAATAATAGCAAGAGTGACATACATATATATGTTTCAAAAAATTATTAGACGATGTATTCAAGTAACATATTCAGGATGTACAAAGTACCAATAGAAACACTCTCAATATTAAAACAATAAATTAAAACAATTTTCAGAGTGAGTAATATTCATTGAAAGAATACACATTTTTGTCAATTGAAATAGTTTTGAATCATGCCTCAACTTCATCAGCGTTGAAGTAGATAATTTGTTGTTCTAAAGCCTGAGTTGACACAGATGTATATAGAGGAACGTTAAAGTCCTGACTATGTCTTTTGTTGAATCTATGTTCGAATGAATCCAAGATCTCTGTAGGCCTATTATTGAAAATGTGTACACATAATCCGATAACAGACTTATCATTTATTTCAATAATATTTCTTTATATTGGAACATTGGCTGTGATGTAAAAAATATTCTTTCAAGCAACAATAACAGCAGGTGCCTGAGCAGATGCCCCCATAAACACGATTCAATTTGCGCATGATAGGACTGTATTATTCAAATTAAGGAGTTTCCTGTAGTGCTTGTATTTTGTCCTTAAAAAAATGAATTTACTTCCATGGCTATCAAATTGCAATGATTATTCTAGTCGAGACATTCATCAATAAAAACCCCCCAAAATTTTGTTAACTCGACATTTTCAAATGAGGTTGTGTCAAATTTCATTTCAAATTCACTGCATATTTTCGGATGATTATAAAAACTTATATGTATTTTCGAACTATTGAGATACAAAGATTATGTGTTAAACCATGTAGACAGAATACTACGACCATGACATATTGTATATTTTAGCAACCACTCTTTTAATATTCCGTAATAAAAGACGAACTGTACTTTCTGTTGTACCATAGCTAATGTAATAATGAAGCAACTTATTGAAATATTTCATTCAGAAAAAGTGAGAAACCAACATATACGCCCATTAACAGAACACGCCGAAAGGCCGAAACAAAGAACGACTACAACTATACTGCAAATACAGAAACGACGCAGTACTGCAAATACATTTTTGACATCTATAATACAGAACAACATTTTAAGAAACAAGATCATAAAGTATGGGCAAAATTGTATTCAATTCAACACTTTCATCTTCAACGGAAAAATCTCCCGAAACTGATTGAGGTCCAATTGCATAGGTGAAAAATTATTTCAGCTGCTTTTATGATTTTGCAGATATCGGAATAATCTTTAATATCATTATTGTATTATTTTAGGAACAATAATCATTAAGTTTAGATGAAACTAGTGAAAAAATTTGAATTACAAATATTACTGGAGTTTTTTCCCAACAAACTGAGTTTTGGATCTTGCTCCTGAAGATAATCACTTGATGATCGAAACACGTGTCGAGGTGTTATAAAAATGGTTTGCTGTTGGGAAAAAACTCCAGTGATATTCATTACTACACCAAAGGTTCCAAACAGTACATCACAAGTTGAATTATAAAACAAATTCAGAAAAATGAATCCATAATCTATATTATTTCTTCTTAGATTCCAAACATTCCGGAATAATACCGAATGATCCCGAAAAGGGGATGAATAAAGTGCATTTTTGGAAAACTCGTTTTTTTTTTGTCCAAAGACATTGCAACTACGCACCAACCTAATTGTCATTTGACATTTGTCAATACAGTATTACAGTGTCTGAGTGACTTGTCATTTTTTGTTTCTAACTAATGTTCTAACCCGTCGTCGGTTGCACTTTTAGGGTTATTTTATAAGAGTTCTTGATTTCATACATATTATACCTTATTTTAATTGAAGTGAGTACCACCGAAAAAACGAAGTTTCTTATAATTTCAGTGCAGTTTTATTCTTGAAAGTTCAATATACAAAATATAATGGCTGTGTCATGAAGCTAACCCTAATCTCTAATTTCAGATGTTCCTAACAAGAAGTGAATATGACCGAGGGGTTAATACGTTCTCTCCTGAAGGACGTTTATTCCAAGTGGAATATGCTATTGAAGCCATTAAATTGGGTTCTACAGCTATTGGAATATGCACCAGCGAAGGAGTCGTTTTAGCTGTTGAGAAACGTATAACATCCCCGTTGATGGAACCTACTACAATCGAGAAAATAGTCGAAGTCGACAAGCACATCGGTTGCGCAGTGTCTGGCCTTATGGCAGATTCTCGAACAATGATAGACAGGTTTGTGCAGAAATTACTCTTGAATGTATTACCCTGCATAATACTGATGTTGATAGTAAATTCATCTTTCAGATCAGTACTTACTCTTTCTACTATAAGAAGTAATAAGTCAATGCAATCAACAACTATTGTTGTTAAACCACTGCAAAATTAAAAGTAATGACCTAATGAAATATTATAAAGAAATCCAAATAGGACAACCTTTTGATCTGATTCCTACTAACATGATAGATATAAAAGAATGCTTTGTGTTTTAGACCACAGTTGAATGAAATTTGTAGTACCAAACATTTCATAAGCTACTGAGGTAGACATCATCAGTGGTATATGCGAGAAGTAAGGTTATATCTAGAAATCTACAAGTGTCATTCTACTGTGGCATAAGCCCTGCATTTTGTTCTCTCTAATCCTTTGTGAATGGTTTGCTTTCAAAATAACAAAAAGGTTCAATGATGCAAGTATCTAATTTTACAAAGGCATTTAATTTTTTTTGATTATGAATGGTTTTAATCGTACTTACTGAATCAAAAAAAAATTGGAAAGTTTTAGCAGACTAAAATGTGGAGGAAATCTAGGAAGGTATCACTCAAGATTCCATTCTGTGTTTTTTTTTGAATATCAATAATATGTCACAGCTGGATTCAATTGCTCACATCATATCATTCACAGATGACACCACTCTGTTGGAGTAGAGTAACACTGACACTGAAAAACTCGCGCTCGAGGTTTTCAGTGTCACTCTTTTTCCGTTTAGATGAAGTGTATGTATATGCAGAAATATATACATATGTGCATACCTGTTTTATATTCCATGTAAAAGCTATTTTCAATATTGTTATTATATACCTATTTGAACAACAATAATGACTAGTGTTGTATATGAAGAACTTCATCAGCTTTATTAACAACACCTCTGGTGCTTTGGGCATATTATTATTATTATCATTATAGTTTCAAAAACTACACCTCACGATTTGATCTCCACAAACTTTATTTGAAAAATATATCACATTTTTCGCTAGCACAGTAGCTTTATCAAGTGATTTGAATAACTTGATAAAGCTACTGTACTAGCGAAATATGTTGTGATATATTTTTCTAATAAAGTTTCTGGTGATCAAATCGTGAGGTGTAGTTTTTGACATTACTATGGATCTTCATCAAGTAACGGCCAAATCAATCAGAAAATCATAATTATTAATTTTCAGAGCCCGTGTAGAATGCCAGAACCATTGGTTTGTCTACAATGAGAACATGAGTGTAGAGTCATGCGCCCAAGGTGTGTCCAACTTGGCTATTCAGTTTGGGGATTCTGATGATGACGGAGCGGCTATGTCTAGACCATTTGGTGTTGCCATTTTATTCGCTGGTATTGATGAGAAGGGACCTCAGCTGTACCACATGGACCCATCTGGTAAGTACAAGAGCTATATCAAACTATTTTGACACAAATTATGAAATATCAGGAGACTATGCGGAAGTTTTATACAAATTTATAACTTCTGTCATATTTGAGAAAAGTAGGAGGTCATCAAAAGTTCACTATTTCAATTTCGTTTTGAATTATGAGGGTAATATTTGTGTGTCAGACATATTTTTTAATTATTTGCATTGGCACCATTATATCCTAGTGGATGAGTTTATTATTGAAGGAAATACATTGTTTCCTTGATAACTTGAAAAAATTCTCATTAGTTTTTTGAAAGAAGGAAATAAGTTTTTATTAACTCCTTTAAAAATTTCTATTAATTTGATCACTGCACATTTTATGTTTGGTAGAGCAAGAAATATTAGTTATACAATACTCTATTAAACTTTTCATTTGATTAATCCAATTTTTTAATAAGTGAACATTTTGGTTTCATTAATAACAATATTTTTAAGCTATAGCTTCTGAGCTTTTTAAAATTGTGTACATGAATGTTTTTACATTTGGTAAACAAAAAATTTGGAAAGTTTAAAAGTACACTATCCAGATGTTAGTGTACTTTGATAATGAAAGTGAAATCTCTTTCATATATTACGTTGTGTATCGTTCCTATGAAACAAAAAATTTGGAAAGTTTAAAAGTACACTATTCAGATGATAGTGTACTTTGATAATGAAAGTGAAATCTCTTTCATATATTACGTTGTGTATCGTTCCTATGAATAATATTTGTTATAATTTCATAACAAATGTGTGGAGTTCAAACTGAATAGGAAAAATTGATTTTCTTGTAATTCAATGTTCATATGAAAGTAGTGTTTTCAAAAGACCTTTTTCTTTTTGTATGTTCAAGTGAAAGTAGTTGTTTCAATTGGGTTATTTTTTCCAGTTTCTATATGAAACTTCTGTGCATGATCTTTCATATATTACGTTGTGTATCGTTCCTATGAATAATATTTGTTATAATTTCATAACAAATGTGTGGAGTTTAAACTGAATAGGAAAAATTGATTTTCTTGTAATTCAATGTTCATATGAAAGTAGTGTTTTCAAAAGACCTTTTTCTTTTTGTATGTTCGAGTGAAAGTAGTTGTTTCAATTGGGTTATTTTTTCTAGTTTCTATATGAAACTTTTTTCTTTTTTTTTGAAGTTTCCCAGATTTTTTGTTTTATGATGGAGAAGCAGAAAGCCGAAAAGTTTTTTTTCTAAGAAAGAATACATATGTCATCAATTTGTGCATTCGATGTAGTTTAGCAAACTAATGAAAACGAATCATTGTGGCTACTCCTCCGAACTACCTAGCATTTTGAAGAAGAATTGCTTTTATTTTTGAAGTTCTCTAGCAGTTAAAACTCCGTGTTACAATTTTTTCAATTTCATAAAATTCATCAGCAATTTACTAATTATGTAAAAACATAGTATTTTATTTTTCAATTCTGATATCTGATAATTTAGTTTTTCTAGTATTAGACAGAACAATTCGCAATTCGAGGTAAACATTTAGAATTTTGAATTAAAATTATTTAGTGTAAATTATGAAATGCCCACAGTTTATTGAATGTGAAAACAACTATTTGTATAGTGCGATTAAATTGAAACCGTAAAATGTTTTAAATAAACAACATGTAAACAATGAGGTTTTATAATGAGAGAGAAATGGTAAAGAGTTGTCATGTAATACTCTCAAAACTTTATTTTGATGGAAGATACACTCTATTGATATGGTTGAATTTTCAAGTTTCATTTACTTTCCGAACTGTCGATGCTCGTGTTTTGAGTATACATAGATACGAAAGTATATCTATAATATGACTCTTCATAAATCATATGTGGGGTGTATAGCAATATTTATTGGGGAAGAACACCAAAGGACACAATTCCATGTTGAAATAATATTTGATTTTTTTTCTCCTTCCCTTTCTACGATTCAATTCTGTAATAGATAATTTTCAGTGAGGAATGCATTCGGAATGAGTAACTAAAATGTTACATTGAATTAGAACACATTTCTGCTTTTGGGTTAAGTGGAAGAATATTTTTGATGGTGTTCAACACTTCACAAAAATAAACTTCACGCTTTATTTTCATTGATATTTGAGATAGTTATCAGTATTTTTGATCTATTTCTTTTTTGTATATATTTATTCGAAAGTAATAAAGACGATTGATCAGGCCCTATCCCCCGAAGCCCCGATACATTCGGGAGGGCGTGCCAGCATTATCAACCCATGACCACTCCCCATACTGTGTGGTAAGTGTTCATTGGGTCCGAGAATCATGTGCCCTGAACAAGCGCAGCGAGCCAAGAATGACAGCCTTCTGCATTTGTGCAGCTAAGATTTCTGCCTTAGTGGGGCAAGCCGGTATGATTTTAAGATTCGAGAGTAACCTCTAGTTTTTCTGAGCGCAACGGATAATGGCAATAGTGAGATGCAGAAGAGAAGGGGACTGAGGGAATCACCCTGAAATACACCCCTTCTGAAAGTGACCCACCTTGTTTGGACTCTTGCTTGACCAGATGTTATGGTGAAGCGAGTTCGCCAAAGTGGTATCCGTTGTTCAACTTACCACACTGCACTGTTATCATGATATGACATTTATTCACAAACTACTGTCAGGTGAAGTCGACTGTCCTTAACTTCAATGTAAAATCTTACGATGCAATAAATCCCCCTCTTTTTTTCATAAAAAATCATAGTACTTACTGTGATTACAACACACCAATGTCCAGAATGATAGTATTGCATCATCAATCGGTTTCAAAATATAAGAATTTTCTGGTGAGTCACATTTGTATGACCATTTCTCTCCAACACAAAAATTAACTGTTTAGTTTTTTTTTTTTTTTTTCATTTCGGGGAGTCAAGGATGCTATATGAAAGTATGTGTTTTCTCACATATTTTATTGATGACTTTTATTTTCAGGCACATTTGTCCAATTCGATGCAAAAGCCATTGGTTCTGGCTCCGAGGGGGCTCAGCAGAGTCTGCAAGAAGTGTATCACCGCAGTATGACACTGGAAGAAGCTATGACTGCAGCCTTGACAATTCTCAAACAAGTTATGGAAGAAAAGTTGAACGCTTCGAATGTTGAAGTTGCCACGATGACTTCAAAAGATTTATTCCACATGTTCACGAAAGAGCAAGTGGAAGAGGTAATTGCAAAATTGTCTTAAATTAAATCATAAAGTGGAAATGACTATTTTTAAGTAATTATGGATGTTTAATTGAGTTTTACATTACTTTTTTTGTTTATTATACACCAAGTAATAAAATCGGAAGAAAGGATGAATGAAATCCAAACCATTTTTCCCAAAACTCCCATCTCAAACTCTGTAAGTTGGAATATTGAACTACATTAATAAGATTTCATAAGGCAATTAGAAAATCTCATCAGCCTGATTATACAGGATGGCCCAAACGGAGAGGTCCAAANGAAGTGAATTTGAAAAACTCGTGAATTATACTCAACTTTATTTTGTTCAAACTTGCATTTGCTGTAATAACCCAAATTGAGGAACATTCCCCATTACCAAGTCATGGCTCTTCTAACCTCTGCATTGTAGTCCTGCAACAAGAGTAAATTTCAGAAAAGCATATAAATTTGTAACGAGTAAACTTGCGTTATAAATCTATAAATTAGTGTAGACTGGAGACTCCACCATGTTTTGTTGCTCTAAATCCTGTTTTGTGTTTGTGTTTAATATTTTATTTCTTGTGGTGAAGGTTGGCGAAGCTTCTCGGTTGATACTCTTATCATGTACATATAGAAATTAGTTTTCCAAATTAATTTTTCGGAGAATCTTGAAATAATTTGTATCTTCTAACTAACAGTATTCTATCACCTGAAATCAATAGGATGTAATTGAAAATTCGAATATAAAATCGAATTTCAACCTGTACCTGTCAATACTTGAAATTAATTAATTTTTTATTCAATCACTCTACGGAGTGTTCTCGACGCCATTTCTTCCATTCCAAAAAACATTATAAAAAAGTCCTTAACGTTTCCGGGAGATGAAGGGAACAGAGAGAGAGAGAAAAGGGGTGATCTTTTCTGATGGAAATTTTTCTAAACGCATTTTCGCAAATTTTCTCACAAATATATCGCCAATCTTTGTGGAAAATGGGTATTTGGTTTAGTTTCCGTACTCGCAATTGTTGTGGATATAATTTCCGAGATTACTGATATACAACGTTAAGTCAAGTTTCGACTTAACCTCTACGAGACCACCCTACATCGAAGGTATGTCCCATACTTTCAATAATTTAGGCCTTTTTTTTGTTATGTCCATCCTAAAATCACTTTCCATACACCTTGGCTTGCTAATTTTGGTTGGCTTAGCTAGTCATTGCATGGTAGATTGTAGTGTTTGTAGTATCATGAGTATATCTCACATCTGGAGTCACAAGTCTGGATTTTTTGGTGTCGAACCCAAGAACCTGGTTGCAGGCACAGAGGATATCACCACCAAATATGTCTTATCCCTCCTGCTTATTCATATGGACAATAAACGAGGAAACACCTACAAACTAGAATCAGATAAGCTTAGTTGTAGTTTGCATGCTTGCTTTTGTTTGCTCACTCATATTCCAGATTTCAGTGATGATTCAATTGAAGAGTTTTATTCTGCCTGTTCACATAATTCCTTTCATTATCTGAGCTAGCGTTGGGAGTGTTCTGTCTGTTCACATAATTCCTTTTATTGTCTTAGCTAGCGGTGGGAGTGATCAAACCGTTTATTTTTGAGTGTCAACGGCATCAACCGCTTGGCATTAATTTTTTGTTCTGGGTGTGCACTGTTGAGAACTCTTAGATCCGCCTAGGGAGCTTCATGGCTATTCGCTGTCTGTCAGCCTTGCAACATTGTAGAATCATCCCAGCTCCCACAAGATAAACTCTCTTGAGAAAAATTCGGTATTGATATTATTTTCAAAACAAATTACCGTGTTTGAAAATTTTCACTGTCAAACGAGATTCGTCCTCAATCTTCCACAAGTCTCACCAGTGATGTTAGGCTGAACCACGAATGCATTAGTGAATACACCTGCCCATAAAGACATAGGACAAACCTGCGTAAGTAGAGCGATGAAATCTCCCTTATGAAGACGGCACCTATGGGAACGAAATAATTAAAATCTAAACCTCTTGCAATATTCATTACCTAATCTTACAAAACGTGACAAAGCACGTTTGTGCGATGGTAGGGAACTTAGAATAATTCAGAGTTACGAGTAGGAATGTTTGGAACTTTAAAATAAATCGAGTGGAGCAATGAAGAACAATCAATCTCCCCTGTTAGTATCTTATACAGAGTTATCAAGTCAGTTCTTGTTCTACTACCTGCCAAGCTGGTAATATTCAGACTTTGCATAACTTGCATGTAATCGTAATCACTATATTGTAGATTCATTTTAAAAGCTATACACCTCAAAAAAATTTTATGTACTCTTTCTATTCGATCGATGTGAGTTTGATAATATGGTGACCACACTGGTGAGGCGTGTTGAATAACCCAATAAACCAATGTTAGATATAACGTTCTAAAAGCCAATACTGATAGTTTTTTAGCATTTCTAGAAATGAAACCCAATACTTTAACAGATTTACTGACTGCGGAGTCAATATGATGTGCAAAATTTAATTGATGATCAAATATGACTCCTAAATCGCGAATTTCAAAAACCCGTTTGAGACTGTTTTCAATTTGATAATCAAATTGAATAGGATTATTGAACCTAGAAAATGAAATACCATAGCACTTATCAACATCCAGAGACATTCCATTATTTTGTGACTAGTTGATCAATTCGTTCAGATCAGATTGAAGACATTTACAGTCTAGGTTGGTTTTGATTGGCATATAAATTGTGAGGTCATCAGCGAAGAGAAGATATTTACAGTGGCGAAAGTTTAGAGCTATATCATTAATAAAAATATTAAAGAGAAGTGGACCCATATGTGATCCCTGCGGGACGCCTGATGTGACCTGAATGTCACTGGAAATGTGGTTTTGAATTTTTACCAGCTGTTTCCTATCAGATAAATAACTGTTTAACCAAGTTGGAAAACCTGTTACTTGAAGTTTACTAATCAACAAACTGTGGTTGACTCTATCAAAGGCCTTACTAAAATCAGTGTAAATTGTATCAATTTGAAGGCATTTTTTAGGGCCTTGGTGATGTCTTGTTGATATACCAATAAATTTGATGTTGTTGATCTACTTGCAGCAAATCCATGTTGATTTTCATTTAGCATATTTTTGCAATGCCACGAAAGATAGTGCACAAGTAAAGATTCGAAAAGTTTTGAAATAGCTGAAAGTTTGCTGATTGAACGATAGTTTTTTATGTCTTCCTTTTTGCCACTTACCCTTGTTTAGCCGGATATCTGATGATCGGCCAACCTTGCAGTCGGATATTGCCATTTGGTGCATCACAAGAAGCACACAATGATAGGGTGGTCCAATTTGGATCTTTTCGTTGATAAATGAAGTTAACAGTTATTTCATTCAGTGGCTTATTGCAGCAGTGTGTACAGTGAAATACTTTTTTCTGAAGCTGGCTTTATTTATGAAGACAAGCGAAACCACTTGCTACTTCACGATGCAGAGAAATTAGTATTCATTCATCATCATTTGCCCTTTGTGCAGTATAAGTACTAATTCATTTTTCGAATTGTAGAATTATTGTGTGATTACTGGTTGTATTTCATAAGTGAACTAACTAAATAAAGCAACTAATTACCTACAGATATTTTTTCAAATCCGGTATTCAGCCGGGTAGGTGCTAGTTATCCAGTATTAGGCGGGATAGTATTTAGGCCGCCGGATACCAGATAGTTACTGGATATCCGTTTCATCTCTAGTAATGAGTGATTTTTTTTGCTGGTATCTTTTTGGCAACACTGTTTTTAACAGATCACGCGTGAATCGTGTCTTGTGTCATTGTCAAACTTGTTCAGTTTGGTCTATAATACCATTGTCCTGTGTTACTCCACTACGTGGAAAATTTTGCTAAATGGGTGTAAAACCCTATAAGATACAGCTGGTGCAAGAATTGAAGTCACACGACCTCCCACAACGTATAACATTTGGTGAATGGGCGCTGGCAAAGTTGGAGAAAGATCCACGTTTTTATCGAAAAATTGTGTTCAGCGACGAGGCTCATTTCTGGTTGAATGAATACGTTAACAAGCTAAATTGCCACATCCGGTAGCAAAAGCTACCGATGCATCCCGAAAAAGTCACTGTTTGGTGTGAATTATGGGTCAGTGGCATCATCGGGCAGTACTTCTTGAAAGACGACAATGGCCGAAACGTTATTGTGAATGGCGAGCACTACCGTGTGATGATTGACGACTTTTTGTTGCCCAAAATGGAAGAATTGGACATGCCGGACATGTGGATTCAACAAGACGGTGCCAGATGCCACACGGCACGCGAAACAATGGCCCAATTAAGAGCCACCTTTGCTGAACAGTTTATCTCACGTTTGGGACCCGTCAATTGGCCGCCTAGATCGTGTGATTCAACGCCTTTGGATTATTTCTTGAGGGGTCATGTAAGGCTCATGTCTACAGGGATAAACCAGCAACGACTGACGCTCTGGAAGCCAATATTGAAGCATTTATACGTGAAATACCGGTCGATATGTTAGAGAGAGTGTGCCAAAATTGGACCTTGTGCCTGGGCCATCTAAAGCGGAGCCGCGGACATTTGCAAATTCTATACCTCTTAAAAAATCACCCGTTATTTTCATGGATCAAGCATAGCTACACCTCCATCGTCCAAGTAGAACACACTTGACTAACTGTTCGTAAGTTTGGCATTCATACTATTGGACTGTTGAACTTGTTTCCTATAAAATGGAAAACTTTTAAGAAATCCTTTTGTGATGACAGAAAAAAAATTCATTCCGAGACCACATTATTTTTACGTACTTATTAGAGACGCCATATATTCAGGGAAAAATGAAAATGCAGCTACCCCAGAATTCCTATACTGTTTATGAAATGAAATAAAAACTTCTTATAGCCATTTCTTGCATACGATTTACTGAATGTGTGATCAACCGAAACCTTGTTCCATCTATTTCCATTCCATCAAGCCAAGCAAGCATCAAGGTTTTATTCCTTTTGAATAGGCATCACTTC